ACCACTGAAGTTATTTATTTGCAATGTGACTTCCTCTAGATAGAATAAATCTGATAAAGTCTGGCCACACTGAGCTAAAATAGCATTTGAGCTGGCTTGTTCAACACAGGTCAGTGTGCAATTATGGAAACATCCACATTTTCATCTGGAGCAGAATAGGCCACTTTGCCATGAAAAAGAAGGGTTTGGGGTTTTTTTTGCACTGATAATCAGATTTCCATAAGAAACAAAGTGCCTTTGCAAATTCAAGTCATTAAGCCATTTCTGCGTTCTGGTGGGGGAATACTGCTCATCACAAGAACAAGGAGTACAGCATATCCCAGAACAAGTCCAGGGAGAGTCTGCATTAAGAGAGTATTAATTATAATAAATAAAGATGACAGAAAAGTCAATGTTTAGAAAATAATGCAGCTCAACCATGCTCAAACTTCAAACAACCCTCAGACTTTGAATATCTGAAATTTGAGACTGGAGACCATCTTCAGTGTTAGACTGTTAGTGTTTATTGAAAAATGCTCATGAATGCAGTACAACGCAGTTTACCTGACCCCCATGTCAAACATATTTCATTGCAGAAAAGTCCTGCAATTTCATGGGGATCCTGCACCACCAGCAGACCTGGGCAGTGCAGCAGTTTGCATTGCAGCTCATTGCATGGGGCCAGGTTCCTCAGGGAGCTGAGGGAAATCTCCAGTGTTGCTTGAAGGTTTGCAATATCCAGATGTGGGGGAAGAAAAGCTTTGGTTAGCAATCTGAGTCCTAAATGAATTTCATTGAATTGGCATTAATTAGTGTCTCTGTTTATTGGTGTTGCCATAAGATTTTCCATTAATTCACAGAGTGGCTGTTTTGCCTTGCTCATGAAACCCACTTGTTAGAGTCCTCCAGGTCCTGGGATGCAGACCTTCCTGAGAACATTCCTCACACCACTGGTGTGCAAAATGCAGAAATGCAACTGCTGGCAGCAAGGGGAAAGCAGCAGAGAAAGAATTAAATTCATGTATTTATTCTTGTTGTTGACCTCTCTCATTCCTGGGTGGTGTATCTTAGAGCAGTCTGATGGTATCTTACCTGCGATGCTACAGGGCTGCTGTGGCACAAATATTGAGGGTGCTTGGGTGTAAAACACTGATTTGTCTTTGTGTAGCCTTTGAACAACACACAGCTTTGGTTGTCCCTGGGAACAGGAAATGGGATGAGGAAGGACTGAGGAGTGTCTGTCTAAGGCAGCAGTAGCAACCCTTCAGAGCAGGCACTTGGCATCCCTCCTTACTCCTGTGATGGAGGGCTGGAGGATTTCATTCAGAAAGCCTGCAGGTCCCTGAGGAATATATGCTTAGGCTCATTGCAAAATGATGGATCAAGGTTTAGCAAGGCAAACAGAATTGGGACTGGACTGGTTTTGGAAATCCTTCACTGGCCTCCTTACTGAAAATGACAATTATCCTGCTGGTATTCTTTCTCCTGTTTTTGTGTGTTGGTTTGTGTTTGTTTGGTTGGTTGGTTGGTTTTTTGTTTTTTTTGTTTTTGTTTTTTTTGGGGGGTGGGTTTTTTGTTGTTGTTGTTGGTTGTTGTTGTTTGCTGGTTTTTTGTGGTTTTCTTTTTTTTTTCAGTATAATTTCACTTTTAAAACATAATTTCCAGTTTTTACTAGGTCTCCCTTTGTTTCTGATTTACTTCAGCAATTATCCCTAAGTAGGTCTGCAGTGCCACAAAACCGAGGTGCTCTTCTGCCTGCTGAAAAGCCAGTAAATCTTAGAAACTGACCATGAAATCTAAAAGAGAACAGAGACAATGGCTGGAGCAGCACTTCCTCAGAAAACCAGTCATGGAAACGTCAAACACAATGAGGTCTTTGCCTCTCAGATGGTGTGTGACAAAGGAGAAGGCACTGAACGGGGTGATCCCATCCTGCCATCCTGGGCTCTGTGGTGGCACACTGACATTCAGCCTGTGCATGGAACTGCCTGAGAAAGGTCATCGAATCATAAAATCATTAACCTTGGAAAAGACCTCCAGGATCATCAAGTCCAACCTCTGAGCATGCCCACTGAATCATGCCACAAAGCACCACATCTACTCATTTTTTGAACACTTCCAGGGCTGGTGACTCCACCGTTTCCCTAGAGAGCCTTCTGCTGCCTTCCCCCTGCCCCTCTTTCCAGCTGTAAATTGGGAATAGAGATAATGCCTGCAAATGGAAGTTGGGTGGGGCATGCTTTTGGCAACACTTATTTTGAAGACCACCGTGTGATGATCTCACAGATCACTCAACAAATGGCAAAACGTTCTGTATGATGAAGGGAACCTCTGGCCTGTAAAACAACCCTTTTTGGAAGTGCCATAGAAACCTGTCAGTGCTCATCCTTCAAAGGCAGCTGCTACACAGGCCAAGGGCTCCTCACTTACATGCAAAACAAAAACAATGTCTGCGAGGTAAGAAAGTGTGAAGGGGAAATAGTCTTCCCCTCCATATTTGCACACTGGTCTTTAAATTGCATCATATAAATCAGCCCCACCAACTAAATGTGGCGTGTTCTGAAATATTGTATTTGCTTTGGATCAGTTCACAACCAGATTGCTTTTATTTTGTTTCATAAGAAGTTGAGATTGGAGATGTATGGACATGTTACTCTTTATGTTTGCATCTGCCACCCTGGCAGGAGAAAAACGGTTGCTTGGGTTTTGCAAACATTCTCCAATTATTTTCCTAAAATGGTTTGGATGAAATACTGTTGGTTCATATAATTAGCTGAAATAATAAACTGGCAAGATTTTGTTTTTGTTTCCTTTCAGAAGGAAACATAATGCAACGAGCTCAACACCCTACAGTGCGTTTGGCGTGAACTGTAATGCCATGATGTGAACACTTTGGGGAGGATCACAGCCTGTGCCCAGCCCTAGTGGTGGTCCTGGGTGGAGGGACCTGAATTCCCTCTGCTCTATCTCCACTATGTCCTTGGGGTTTTTTCCATTCAGCTTTTGCAGAGACAGTACTTCTGGGATGGATGAGGCATTCCTGCAGAAAGGGGTGTTTCCAGGGAGGCAAAGAGAGCTACAGAACATCACATTGGTTCAGATATAGGCATTCCTGCATGCCAAACATGCCAACTTAGGTTCACCTTCTCCTTTTTCTTACCAGCATCCTTATCCAGACAGACTGAAAACGTACTCCAGTGAGTGCCAAAGGACAAACCCCTGATGCACACAGGCAGAAAGGAGAGATGCTCCCAATGTGCAGGTACTCATGGGCAGGAGAGCCCTGCAGCAGACCCAGTGCACTGGGCCAGAAATTCCTGGCATTTCTGTAGGCAGCTCCATCCTCCCCGTAATCCTTCTTTCAGCCATTGAAGGAGTTTGGTGATTTTATCACTCCCCTCAGGAGGAGGGGTGGGTGCACTGGGCACATTTATGTATGTTCCTTGGGGCACCTGCAGCCTTTGCATTGCAGCATCTGCTGGTCCTGGGGACTGAACAGAGAAATTGTCCTGTGACACACACAAAACTCTTCTGCTTCCATTGTCCCTGAGTATTATAAGAAATCACCAATATTCTAAGTAGCAAACGCTGCAGGCTACTAAAATAATCTAATTTCAAGTCAGCTTTGGAAAAGATGTGTGGGGGTTTTAAACACTTTTGAACCTGACAATGCCAATTTTTATCCCTGACCTCTACAACAACCCTGCCTTCTTTCCTGCTTCTCAGCATACCCTCCCTGTGCAATAACCTCTGCTCCTCCATCCTGCATGAATCGTGTACACTTGGCTGGTGGATCAATCACCATAACAGCTGTTGTCTTCAAGGTTTATTAATGCTTTCCAACTGAATTCTTGTTTTCCTGCTAATAACCCTACCAGTGGAACACTTTTCTGGACACGCAATTATTCATGTGGCAAACTTGCCACCTGAATGCTGGTGGGAAATTAGTAAGCCTTGCATCCAACTGGAAGGAAGTAATTTTTAATTTCTGCAATGGGCTTGAAGTTGGGATTATTTTGCTGCAGGGCTGTCTTCACTCCAAGCAATGCCCAGGAAGAAAGAGCAGCTGATGTATGTAAAGGGATGAGAGGGGCACAGGTGCTACCCATAGGGATTTGTTTGGCCCCACAGTTCACATTAGCTGGTGCTTATCCCTGATTTGTAGAGTGAAACTGAAAGGAGAAGAGGTCTGAAGTGAAGGAGCAAACAGAAGCTGAGTGTTTGGCCCAGCTGCTGCTGGTAGGAATGAGGAAAAGCTATGTAGAAAGAGATATGTCACAGTGCTGGAGCAATGAATTTCCCATGGGGCTTGTGTGGGTCAGGCTGTTCCTGCCTCTTTGGCAATAGTGGGCTGGGCAATGCCACAACATAAATGCCTCTGCAGCAGTGAGGAGTTTGGGTTTGGAGAAAGCTGGGCTGGGTTTATTTATGCTCCTCTTGTTTAAGCAAAGTTGCAGGTATCACTTCAGCAGCTCAGCTATTAGCTGCTATCTGTCCCCAGCAGTTCTCTCTAGTCTTTGGTAGATAGGCAATGCTCAGGACTAGATACAACTGCTGGGCACAGCTCCAATTCCCTCTGGTAGAGATAGAGATAGAGCTGTATATGGACTGAAGATAGTACGTGGTCTTTTGTGTCGTTATGCTTTGTCATTTTAGTGTATATTATATTTGGCAGTCAGAACAGTTGGCCAAGCTGGGAGTCATCCCTCTGCTTCAAAACAGTGCAGCTTGGCAGCTCTGTTTATCTTTTACTGATTCATTCTGGTGGAAGCTAGGGTTTGAGAAGTTTAAAAATTAAGAGTCTTATTGTTGTAAAGTATGGGTTTAACTTGTGGCTTGCTTTTTTTTCCTTACACTTTCTTTATTGGCCACAGGCATGATAACAGAGCTATCCATACAGGCAGTGTCAGTATTTTTATGCTGACTGTAAAAATACTCTGAACAATTTACTCTGGAAAAGCCAGCAGCTCCCTCAAACATAGCATTGCTGGGACCAACATATTCCTCTTCCAGACGACTGAATATTGAAAAGAATGCAAAACAAGCTGAAAAAGTGGAACTTGTCGCTCATCCTTTGGTGGCTGTCAGCACCAGAAAGGATGGATGAAGAAGTGAAACATGGCCATCTTCAGCCACTGCCCTGTGTGCTGGGCTTAGAGGTAACTCCTCGGGAGGTGGGATGCAAGCTTTACTCTGGAATGTGCTCTAAATGTCTGTGGCTTTGCAGTTGAATGGACATACTGCTCTGCTGCAGGGCATAGGAAGGCCGTCACCAGCACGTGCTTGACAAAGATTTGGGGCAGGGTGCAAGGGGACAGGAGCCCTGCAAGCCTTCCCAGGGTCCCTCACCAGCAGTGGGACACCTTCAGCCCATGCAGGAGCTGAGTGCAGGGTTATTTTCGAGGACCCAGGCATTCCTGGTGCTACAGTGCATCCCTGACTGTGGCTCCTGCAGAGCCGTGTGTGCTGGACCTGATCCCATCCTGCACGAGGGTTTAAGGGGTGGAGGCTTTGGTTCTTCACAAGCAGAGCTGACACTGAGCCAGGTGTGCTGTGGCAGCAAGGGGCTGCTGACAATGGTTTCCCCCTCTCTGCCCCTATCACACATCATGTCAGAAAGTTCTTGCAGAGCTGCAATGACCCACCCTCTTCCCCATCCATCTCCCTCAGCGTGAGCAATACGTGGCAAATGCATAGATGTGCAGGCATGGGTACAATCCTGACTATTCCACAGTCAGCAGCAAGCACCCATCAATCCACTAGAGTCACTTTAGACTGCTTTTATTCTATTTGTTTCATTATGCTGTTACAGCTCTCCTCAGACACAGTGCTAATTAACTCAATCCCATTCTAGCAACTCCTGGCTCCCACATCATCTCCAGGGTTTCCAGTCCAGGGAATTGTAACAGATCACTTATCCCAGGGGGTTTGAATGGATGCTTTTCCATGATGGAGCTGTAGGCAGAGGGACTCATAATTGCAGAGGTGCATTGAAGTCTCTAATTCAGTATGCAGTATCAAAATTTGTATAGATTTTAAATAATTCATCACTGAGCTTTGGTATATTTAGTCATTCAAATTAGGAATCTAGAATTTTGTTCTGCAGAGAGCTGTGTGTCATTGTCAGAGGTTAGCTCTGCCACCCGTGTCCATGCAGAGGAGCTCAGACAAATTAAGTCAGAAGTGACTGGCAGCAAAAGATACAGGAAAATCCGTGGCACATAATAATGCCATGAGAGCCTCCAGGCAGCTGTGGGCTGGGTGATGTTGGCCCTTGGTCCAACAGGACGCACACTGCAGAGGTGTTGGGAAACATAATTAGCAAGGAGCATTGCTTGGGATTGCAGAGTAGAGCATGGTCTAGGTATGGTCTTTAGCTGCCAGCACCTGGGGACTGTCTCCTGTCTCCATCTATTGCTCCCTGTTCTGGATGTGGATTGCAAAGCACTGGAGGCAGGGAGATGCTCTTGGTCTTTGCTGTGTCCTGTGACTGTAACACAGGCAAGTGGGCATTCATACCCATTAGCAGAAGTGGCAGCAGGGCTCGACTCAGAGCCACGACTGGCACAGACATGAGGTTTGGCATATTCCCAAACTCATTACAGTGGTGCCGAGTCCAGCTGCAAAGGGATGGTTTAGGAATAGGGACCCATATGTTTATTTTATACCTACATGACTTCTGGATGGTCTGCATCTGCCTGTCTCCCTTTCTTGACCTAAAGGAAGCCTCTCAAAAGTGGGTCCAGTAGAGATGACTTGGGAGGGGTCTGTGTGCAGCATCTCCCAGACAATGAGGTCTGCTCAGGGTGTCAGAAGTTATCCCAGCCACAAAGTACACTGGAGCCTTTTGTCCAAATGACAGTCTATTTATGGGAAATGCTACTGTTCGGGACAGAGTTGATTCTGGTCTCAACACTTATTCACCTTGACAGGAGGGAGCAGGGAAAACTCAGCACCTCTCTTAGGATCTCAGAGCCTGTACAACATTGAAGCCTTTTGTCTACCTCTTATTTTTATGCATTACAATCACATTATAAAGAAGTCCTGCAGAACATTCAATTACTTACTGCACAATTATAATCATATTTGTATATCTATAAGTAGGTCACCAGTCTCTTAGGTTAATCAATTATAATGGCATTCACACCGGTTTCTTTCATAAATCACTGACTTTTAGTGTATCCACTGAGATAATGGAGGAAAACCATCTAATTTTGATCTAACCAGAATGAAATGTGAACGTGCATAATTTGCTCTTACAAAGTGTATCTAATGTTCTCTACATCTGTATTTATTTGTGCTGTTTCATGCTGCATATCGCTTAAGTGGCAAAAAACACAGAGGCTGCTGCACTTAAAACTAAATGACCCAGAATAATACAATTTATCTGCATTTATTTTACATTGTTCATCATGGCAGATATTTTAATAACCCAGTTCTGATGCCTGGTGCACTGATTACCAATCACACTGAAATTTGAGGACTGACAGCAAGATTGTTTGGTGTGCTGCAAGAATATTTTGGGAAGCTGTTTTGCCATGTAAACTAGACAGTTAAGTGGAAAGAGAAGACTTTACTCAGGCTGGAGGCTGAGAAGGCTTTAGGACATAGCTGGATACCGCCAGATAGTGGGCATCTACTGAGCCACTGAGACCGTAGCTGCTTTAATGCCTACCCAAGCTGCAGTTTTCAGACAACTCAGTGAATGAGACAAATCATAACTGAATGGTTTCTCTTTTCTGCCTGCTTAATGTGGGTGCCTCAGTGCTGCTGTCGCAGAAGATGTGTGGGAGGTCTTTGTGCTCCCCTCAGTGGTGGCCTGGGCAGGATTTGCTTGGCTGGCTCCAAGGGACAGGGATGTAAGTTGTGAAGGACAGACCAAGACCTAGAGCTGTGCTGCCAGAACTGGCTGATCCCAGTTTGACTGGAGAGGAGAGCTATGGAGATTTCAGGGGTTTGGGATGCCTACCCTGCAAGGCTTTGGCTGATGGGCTGGTTTAGGCTGGTGAAGGGGTGAGCTAATAGCAACCTACAGCAACCTGTAGAAATGATGGAGCCAAATCCTTCTTGGTAAAGGCAAATGATGTTACAAGGAGCAACAGCAGCTTGGGAGGTTCAGACTGGAAATCAGGAAAACTTCTTCCCTGTGAGAGAGATGCATCTCTGGTCATCTGTTGGAATTGTGGCACCCACATCCTAGGAAGTTTTCATACCCTGGCCAGGCAAAGCCGTGGCCAAGCTCATTTACTGCTGGTTGCTAAGCCTGCTTTGAAGAGGCGGTTGGATGAGAAGCTCTTCCCACAAAAGTACTGTGATCCCATGCTTCAGGATCCCTGAAAGGGAATTCAGGAAGGGTGACACAATGAGGTGTGAACCCTTGTCTTCATTCACCCTGGGTTTGAGTGTCAAAGAAGTTCAGACTGAATCATCATCACGTCAGTGAGAGACACACCTGTACAGGCAGCAGTGGCAGGGATGTGGGGTCTGGTGTCAGCAGAGACCATTCCCTGCTACGAGCACTCGATGCAAACAAACTCTGTGTTTGAGTGATGAGCTCAGACTCCTTGCCCAGACACAAAAGACTGCTCTCCAGACTGCCCTTCTTGGAGCAAAGGTAAGGCAAACTGGCTTTAGCTTTCTGTCTGCAGGAATGTCTGCCTAAGCATCCCTTTGGCTGCCAGCCTGGAAAATGCCAGTGTTGGAGAGGTGGTGGTGCAGGGACTGCATCCTGAACAAAACCAGTGTGCAAATTGGATGCAGAGAGGGCTGCTGGGCCTCACCTTGGGCAGAGTCACTGACTGCTCTGGAAATTGTTTGGAAATGGATTCTGCTTAAGCACTCTCTGTTTTACAGCTGTGGAGTAACCTTGTGCTGATTTCCAAACAAGACCTGAAAGCAGGCAAGTGCCTGCTGTGGGTCTTCTGCAGCTTCCAGCAGTGCTCCCTGCCTAATCCAGCACTAGGAGCTGCAGGCTTGCTCTGGAAATGCTGAGCCTTATGGCTCACTCCCATGCTGTGAGCTCCATGTCTCCACAGATCCACGTGATTCCCAGATAGCTAACAGGGCTGCTGTCAACCCATTAATCCCAAAGCAGTTTGTGAAGGGGACCTGACCATAGGGCTGGGTAAAATTACTCCTTTTTTTTTTTTTTAACCTCAGTTCCAACCTTTTGCTAAAAATCTCCATCTTTTCAGAAGAAGCTACTGCCAGAGAAATAATCAGTGTTTTCAAATCCTGTGAGGGTTTTTGTGTATATTTTGCAGGAAAAAAAAACCCAAACAAAAATCCAAGAATTTTTATGCCTGAATTGGTTTTGTCTTTCCTTATTAAAAAAATAGCAATTTTTATCAAAGGGATTTCTGCTGTATGGAGATGTTTGGTTTTGACAAAAGGTTGCTTGCTTTTTTTTTAATCTGAAATTTTGTTTACTGACAAAATATCCCCCAGCTCCTGTGACTTGGCCAGCTGGAAGGTCTGGCTCATTACTAGTGTAATTATTTACTGTTTTGTTGTGGTAGCAGCAAGAGCCCTCAGCCCATCCACAGGCCATCAGTCTCAGGCATTGTGGAGGTTCCTGTGTAGATTTGGTGACTGTGTCTGGGGTGAATGGGATGGGGATGGCTCCAGAGAAGCCTTTGTGAGGATTTATGTGTGTCGGGCTGCTATTTTAGAAAGGAAATGTGTCAGTAGATCACAAATGTTCTGACTGATTTACGTTCACCGGTTCGGGTGCCTTAGCCCCAGGAGTAGATAAATTGTGGTCTAATGTTTTATTTACGCTTTCAGGAAATTTAGTGTCTTTGGAAACACTAGGTCAAAAGTCCTGGAGGGCAGTTGACTCCTGGTGGGATGGATAACCTGCAGGAAGAGCTCTGCCAGTGCCCTGGGTAGCTCCCAGGTCCCACTCTGCACAGGGCACTGTGGGAGGTGTTGAAAAACAACTTATTTCTTAAATTGCTTCATATCTGAGAAGATGACTTTAATCCATTTCTATTTCTATGGGAGTTTGGAAGCACTACACATCTGAAATGACAGCAGGTAACACAATAGAGGGTTTAGCTGAGTTTTAGGTATGCAGATGAGTTAAATTAATTAACAATAATCTCTTTAAAATGTATGGCAGAGTAATACCAGTCTAGTCTATAGAAAGATTCTTTGGGACTTAATAGAGACCTGGGAGTAATTAATTATTCAACAACCCACGGTTAAGCAGATGATATCAGCAAGTCAGTGGGCAGAGTTTGGATTTGCCATCTTCCAAGTGGATCCTCTGTGTTTGCTGCCTACAGCCAGTCTGTGATGGTGTCTATGAGGGGAGTCTATAGTCCCCAAAACTCCCATGTGATCATGGTTGTAATAGCCCAACCTTTACTAAGGGAAAACGGTTATAGCATAAAGCATGTGGCCTCAGAGCAGGTACAGGTGCCAGGGAGAATTGAGTATTTTGTTAAGAACAGATAGTTGGCTTAGTACCTTATAAGCACCCATCTAAGCTCTGTTCAATTAATGAAACACAATTTAAAGTAAAAAGGATTGGTACCAACCAAACCACTGCAATATAAGCTCTTCTAATTATGCAATAAGATAATGTCCACCAGATTAAAATTTTAATTAGCTTAATTGAGAAATAGAAAAAGCATTAGATTTCTAGTTCTGGAACACCTAAAATGACCTCAAGGGGGTGAGGGGGGAAGGAAAAACATTTGAGCACTGTGTGTGTTCTCACATCTGTTGTTTTCTGAAACACATCATCAAATCCCAATGGGTTTGGACTCATGGGTTTGCTTGCAAGGCCCTGTTTGGGGGACCTGGGGGACTCTGAGAGCATCAGAGGCAGTGCACAGTGGTGCCCTTGATTTGCCCCAGCACTCATTTCCAGCTCCAGCTGCCTTCAGTCACTCTGGCTCTGCTTTCAGAAGGCAGAGACATGCTGGCTATAATAGGGACTTTTGTTCTTTTGGTTGTTTTTTTTTCCCTCTTTCCTTTTCCCTATTCATAGATTTAAAGGCCAAAACAGACCATTAAGTCCAACTAATCCTACATCCTGCATGACAAAGGCCATTCCACCCATCCACTAATTCCTCAATACCATGGCTGACCATGACCATGTGATTATATACCCTCCTGTAAATGCACTGGGAGCCTCTGTGTGCTCCAGACATGGAGCAGGACCCCACTGAAAACACCCAGCCTTGATTTAAAGACTTTAAGTGGCAGATGATTTATCACATCCCTCATGAAACCACTCCAATGCATAATTACACTTACAGTAAAATAAGTCACTGGGGCTGAAATCGTGGGGAGCCATAACATGCAGAGTGTACAGTGCACAGTTCTGTTTGGTTATGCGGTAAGGAATACAACAAATTGCTTTTATGTCTTTTCAGGAAAGAAACAAAGACATTTGAACAATTTGCACAACACAGAAGCTCTCCAGACCAAGTGTTGAAAGGGCTAGAGGTTTGCTGGGGAAGCTTTGAGGAGAGTAATAAAGAAAAGAGGATTTTATGATGCAAGGTCAAATAGGAAACTTTTATTGGAGGGGCTTGGCCAGCTCCTAGTCCCAGGGGAAAAGGAGAAGGAATTTGAATGTAGAGTGTTTCCCTTTTGGAAGGTCAAAGGCATTCCATACAATTACAAAGCAGCATAAGAGAGATACACTTATTCCTCTGTCATGGCTGTCAAAAATGGAGGAGGGGAGGAAGTCCCAAACACTACATTTCATCAAAGCCCTGAAGGTAAAAATGATCTGCTGGCTTGAAATTTATCTTAATGAGCAAAATCCAGCCAATGGAACAGGGTACAGATGAAAGTGACAGATGGGATCATTTAAAGTTTGATTCTTTGAGTGAAAGAAAATAATTTTTTTATAAGTTATTTTTCTTCTGATTGTTACAGTGTTCTGCATAGTGTCACAAGCTCTCATTGGCAGCCCCAGGTCTCAGGCAGATTAATTTATCCAGAGTGTCTTGGAAATTCAGAGTTAGAGGGAACTCCTGGAACTCAGCTCACGTAAACCCATGGAGTGGGTCCAACAGCTGGAGGTGGTCTCCTTGGCCAAGAGATTTTTGCTGGGTAGGGGCTGCAAGTAAAGGCATGACACAGCTTATAACAGAGGGTATGCTTTAATCTTTTAGTTAAGGGAGGGCAGTGGTGGATTGTTCCCCGAAATGTGTACAGGCATGGATCTGTTGGGGAAATGTATTGTGGTGAAAGTCCTGTGGGGCAGTGTGAGTAGTCCTGGTCTGGACAGTCTCAAGGAGAACTGTCCTGCATCAAGGACCCCCTGCAGGGATGGCTGGAGCAGGCTCTGCTGTGGGAGCTCTGTCTCTGAGGTTGACCCTAAGTCTGAAGCTGCCCTGGCCCCTAAAAATACAAGCAGGCATCAATAGGTCAGAAGAGTGCAGAGAAAGGTGCCGATTGGGTATTTTCCGACACAAACAACTGCAAGAATTTACCACTGCTATATCACTTGGGACCTAGGCAGGTCCATAAAAGCTCTGTGCAGTTGGAGGATGCATATCCTTGTGGAGAATCTGCTGAACTTTGATGCTGAGAGGTGTTGTCCTACACCCCTTTGTGTGTAAGGCCACATTGTTATGCATTGCTTATCTTTAATAGGGAAAGATGAGCAGGAAAAGGACTGGAACCAGCCCCATGCATCATAATATCCATCTCTTTGCACAGGTAATCTTTGCACGGTAATCTAGTGCATGCACAATATCTGTATGTAACAGTGTACACACACAGCAGTGGACCCTGCCACTGTGACAGGGCAAGAACAGAAGCATTGACCCCCTCTTCTCTGCCCACTTAATTTCTGATTAGGTCAATGAGCAGTTAGCAAAGGTTCACAACAGAGAAGAGGTCAAAACCAGGGAAGGAATGCTCTGGCCAGGGGACACGGACTGCACGTGCACTCCCTACCACGTGGCTCTTTGTCAGCTGGGAAGAGAAGTAAGGGATTGCGAGGAATTTCTTCAGATGTGTTCCAGTAGTGGATTAAAATAGCTGCTACTATTTTAATCCTGCAAAGTGGCAGCTAAGGCACATGCAGGACTGGCATCATCTCCTCAAAGTGGGATTCCAAGAGCAGCCTGTGCCTGTAGCAAAGCAAATGCAGGGCTGGTCTCGGGCACCTGGTGAAAACTGGCCCAAGCCAAGGGACCAGTGGCTAGAATTCAGGATCAGGAGGTATAAATTCACACTGCCTTGGTTTTCTTTGAGTTATTGCAGAGTGCTGTAATGCTATGAACCCTGCGTATTTTTGGAAAACTACAAGAAATTGCTGTACTCAATATTTTTTATTTACATGCAGCTCAGCTGGGGATTGTCTGTGGAATTCTGTTGTGGTAACATTTTGAATGTTGATTTTTTTGTTTTCTTATTCTAGAAGTTTCAGTGTAATATAACACAAATATTTTGTTTCCCTGTGGACTCATGGCAGCGGTGGAGGAGGCTGTAGAGGAAGGTGAGGTTTTTCTTTTTTAGGAGTCTTTTTAAACGTAACTGGAAAGTGAAACTCCTGCTTTATCCCTTATTTTCTATTTTGTAGGGGTATGTTTGCTGTAGGCCTTTTGGAGGTGGAAGAATTAGATTTGAAATAAAGGAAAGAAAATTTACCTTCACATCTTCAGGAACTGTGAATTATTTATTTGCTGTTCCTGGTAAATCTGCTGTTGCAAAACCTCACTGTGAAATGAGTGTTTCTTTGTTTCACTGGACTATGGGATCACTCCCTGAAGATTCATTAGCCCTGCTGCTGGAAGGCAATGTCCTCAAAGCTTCTTTTTTATTATTATTTGATAATGCTTGAGGTTCTTTTTGCTTCACCTTCATTTATTCTTCCATTCATTTTAAAAATTAGATAATTGCATGAACTCATCTGTGGAAATTTAAGACCTCTTCCTGGGATTTTTTTTTTTGCTCCTGCATCTGAACCCCTCTCACACAAGATGAGAGGGTGATTCCCCCTAATTCCACAAGATTGTGTTGCCTGAATTCAGCATCAATTTCAATGAGCAAATATTTATACAGCATCCAAGATGCAGTCTGTACACAGAATGACACCAAATTAAGTTAAATCAAAACTAACTAGATTGAAGACTGTCCAGGTAAAAGGTGGTACTGGTTTAACTAAATCTACTTCAAACCAGTGTAGTTAAAATGGAATAACTTCACTGTGAAGGCCATATTTCACCTTTCAGATGTCTTGAATGCCCAGACCAAATCCCACTGTATTCACTCCACACAGGACTACCTATTGAGATAGCATTAGGTAATATTATGGTCTTTTCCTACTGTTCCTTTCAGGGCCATGTGAAATGATTTTCCTCTTGGTTTTAGGAAGATTCAACAAATATTTGCATGAGTCCTTTAAAAGCCTTTCTCTTCAGTGTGAAACCACTGCTGAAGACCACTCTACATTATCTTATTTAGTCTCTTACCTACCTTAATCAAGCAAATGCTGCAGGTTTTGTCCTAAACTAGGTCAGATACACTAGTTTTGCATGATATATCTTGGAAGCGGGCACAAAATATCCCTTGGACCATATGGCTTGCAGCCCTGGGCTTTGTTGGCTCATACCCTCTCTAATTCCTCCTAATCTGTTCATAAGCACCTCCAAAAGGGTGCTTCACACACCTCACCAGTAATCTCTTTCAATGCCTGGTTCCTCTTTGGATCTAATGCCAGATAGTATTAATATACCCATCACTGTAATTATCCAGACAAGCAAACAGTGGCAGGAGAGATCCCAACTTCTTGCTTTTCCCACTGATTCAGAGGCATACTTGAAAGAGCCCTTTCATCCCCATGGATCCTGTTTCCTGGAGTTGTCCCAGGCTGTCCTCATCAAAAGGGAATTTGCTGTTTGAGCAGTTTCTCAGCCAGTTTCATGCTGGGAAGGAATCAGTGGTGATGGGGCTTTATCATTTGTTCACTCTCCAACTGTTGCCCAGACAGTTGGTACATGGCCAGATGCCAGTCCCACATCAGGTCCTCCTTTAAAACCTTTCACAGGGCAGAGACCTATGTGTGAGATGGAAATACTGCTGATACTTGTAACTTGAAATCTGGCCTGCCTTTCATCAGGCTCTGAGTGGTGGTGAAAATCCAAGATTTGCTAGAAGGAACAGCATGGATGGAAGGTTTCTGATGCCGTGTGTTGGGAAGGAGGTACTTCTGAAAGCTTCCTGCACCCAAGTTCTCTGCAAATACCTCCTGCCAAGTCCATCTTCCCATGCAGGATTTCAAGGAAGTTTATTTAGCAATCACTCAGCAGCAAAACAGAACCAAAAGGGATTATCTTGTGATTATCTTGCCAGGTGGGTCCCTCGAGTTTCCAGGTCTTTAGCTGAAGCTTTTAAAGGCTGCCCAGTTTCCCACACACCCAGAGTTTTGGGCAATGTTTGTAGTCAGGGAGACAAGATCTATAAGTAGAGATAAATGCGAGATCATTTCAGTAGCTGGAAAAAACAGCTGTTTTGAACACCTCAGGCTCTCTGAGACCCATTGTGTGATCTGGAGCAAGATGTTACAAGTGCATCAAGTGTGCTTGGTTTTAGGAACAGCAGCAGTGATGCCGAAGTTACAAGCAGCAAGGCTTTGATGCCCACATCACAAAGAATATGCAAACTTGTATTATTCCTTTGATTAGCTGTTCTCTGATATGTCAAGTCCATGAATAATCATGCCTCATTTTCTAATTAGTTTTACTCATCACCCCACTGCTCCATGCCTTCACTCATTTGCATAGCCTTTTTCTAGGTAAGGCCTTTATTCTGTGAGGTATTAGCAGGACTTCCATTGCTCTGCAATCCCAGCACTCCTCTGGTCCTTTCCCAGCCCTTTACTTGCTTTTGGCCTTGCTTTTCCTCCTGTCCAATGACCATCTCATTGCTCTGTTCTTTTCTACTCTTTTTAAGCCCTGTTTCCACAGGGGAACAAGGTGGTATCTTCATACTGTCTATCTCCTGGTGATACCTTTTAACTCCATAATCCAGTTTTACAGTCTCAACAGAGAAGTAAAACTATCAAAGTTACTCTGTTTGCATGTCTTATGGAAATAGTGAGGGAAGAGGTCTTTTGGGGGCAGTGGGGCTGGACATCCACTCCATCACTTTGAGGCCCCATGATGGGTGGTTTTGAATGCCCTGGCAGCAAACCTGTTCAGCCATCAGCCATTCCAGACGAGAGACAATTCCATAAAGGAAAGTTGCAGCAGTTGGCCTGGTGGTGGTTGTGCTTCTTATTTTAACAAATATGCTATTTTCATGACACAGGAGACTTTTCTGTACTTATTTATCTTCTCTCCCTTCCTGCACAGGTAGTATAAGATGAATCACACTACAAGGAGACAAAGCAAAATGAAGGGCTTGTTTGCATTTCTTTTAATCAAGTTATTCTAATTCTCCTACAGTGCAAATATGGTTTCCCCTCTCATTTTAAAAAGACCTCATCCTCCCAGCAGCTGTGAGTGCCTCAGCAGTCAGGGTTAGCCCTGTCCAGGGCTGCCACAGCCCTGTCCTGCCCCTCTGCCCAGGGGGTTCATAGCCATCTGCAGTCCTGCCCATACCTCTGTGGAACAGTGGATGCTGGGACCTACTCTGGCTGAAATGACATGAAAACTTGATCCTTTCAAAAAGCAGGAGGTGTTAATACAACTTTTACACACCAACAGCCTGCTTATCCCAAAGTTGATGTGTGTCTTTTTTTGCTGGGGCCAAGCAGTCACCATTTGCCAGCCAAATGCAGAGGTGAAATTCAGATGCTGTGAAAACAAAGGTCTTCAGGAAATACACAGGGATGTGATCATCAGCCCTAAATGAATAGCTAACAATTTCCTAGAGCAGTAAAGATCAGTTGAGGGCTGGAAGCACAAGGCGTTGCATTAATCTGCTTCTGGGCAAACACCCAGTGCCTTTGCACACAAAATCCCACTTTTCTGAATGTTTCCATGGGTAAATATGGGGGGGGGTCAGTCCAAGATCCTGCACCAGCTCAGCTTACCCCTGCTATTGCATCCACAGCATCAGGAAGGGGCTGGAACTGGAGACGCTGGAGGAGGCTGTGCTGGGGGTCGGCTGCTGACAGTGCAGGGACAGAAGGGACCAGCTGGCAGGAGAAGATGCTCATAGGTGGGAGAAAAGAGGAGCAGTGACCATATCCATGTGCTCATCTGGGCAGGTCTATTCACGGAGACATGGGGGTGAGGGGACTCCCTGCACCAGCAGAGGAGAAGGGTCATGTGGGGGGAGCAGGAATAGGGACCATATGTGTGGGCTCTGCGCCGAGAAGGAGGTGGAGATTTTTTTCCACTGATGTTACTAGGCACTCAGTGTTTTGCTTAACCTCTTAACTTAAACCACCTGCCCTGCCAGCCGTGCTGTGAAACCTTAACAGCTCTGCTCTGTCCTACTTTTATCTAGTTCAGGGCGATTTTCAATTCTTTAGTGCCTAAGCAAATGGTTTGTGTCCCTGGATCAAAGCTCGGGAACATCATTTACATACCGTGAGTGAGAAGGCAGCAGACTGGAGACCATCACTCATCAGTGAAAGGATGATCATTGTTTGTTTAGCCCATTCCAAAATAATGGCTCTGCTGGGAACACCAACCCAGTATGCATCATATCTTTTATAGTATATATTAATTTAGCATAGACATTAGGCCATTGTTATTCTCTCCATTTAATTCTCAGTATTAGCATTCAGGATCAGTTTTAACCCAGAACACATCTTTGTTATTTCATAATGTAAAATAAATAAAACTGGAGCCAAATATATTTTTTTTATATAAACCACTGTGAGAGAGTGATGGATATAAAGCACAGACATGTCTTTATAATTTTAAGGCTTGAATTTCAGAGCACAGTGTTTTCATTAAATGGTGCAATCCATTCATTTTGGAGATACAAACAGAGGCAAATTAACTCAATAGTTCTCATGCCTAGAATCTTTGTGATAAAATTGCCTATTATTGTGAGTGTAAATGTTTTCAAAATATTAAAGACAACTGGAAAAAATAGGAAAGACAGGATAGCTTGATCAAGGATGAAAACCATAAAGACATCCCCTCCTAACACTATATGTACCTGCTGAAATTATTTAAAGAGAATTGCTGTGAGAGGAGAAGAAAGGAGACAGGCCATTTTTTTTTCCTTTTTATGACGAATAAAGATCTGAGAGAGTGTTTACAAATTATTTTGTTTGCTGCCTGCTGTGCATATTAGAAAATTCAGCTCTTGGCTGATTGGCCAGGCAGAGAAACAGAAGCGTCACAGGTGGCAGGGGAATGAAAGCTGAGGTGCTGCAATAGGGAGGGGAAGGAGAAGCTCATTCATTTCCACCCCTACCTGAGATCAGGGGTTAGTGAGATGCAGTGGCTCTGTAACATCTGCAGCTGAGTCCATCAGTTAAATAAATATTGGAGCACATCAGTTAAACTGGGGTTGGCCAAACCCGTGGTCCTGCCCTGGCTGCTTTTCCTTGGAAGGACAGGACACTGGGGATTGGGGTAAAAACTCCCTTTAGCCAAAAGTCTCGCGTTTTTTATTTGCTTTTTCTTAGACGAGTGCAGCTCTCACAGACATTAACTGCCACAGCATCAGTCGCACCAAGAGGGAAAGGGAAGCCTCAGGC